TTTTGTGTTTTTAAGTTATTTAGTTTATTTAAGTCATCATAACATTGTAGTTCACTATCTAAGGAATTTAAGCATTATAGTAATTACAATCTTTTTTATATACACTTTTTTATAATTTTTCTATTAGTTGTAATTAATGCCTAAACGAAGACTAATATCTAACCAAAAAGGAGGACAGAACACACCATGCTGAATCAAGAATCCATTTTAGGTCTTACTTCCATGTTATCTCTCTGTGTTTGTTCTTATTTTAACCACCAGTCGTCCTGCATAAAAAATTCTTGGTACTTTTTCAGACTGTCACTTCTAGCCCATCAAGGAAAAGGGGAAAATTGCAGATAAATCAAGCAGAAAATGTCAAAGCTACTTCTTAATTTAGCTTGGCACCCAGCATTCAGAAAAACTTGAGCAATCGAAGTTAAAAGAAAAACCCAGATAACAAAATCCCACAACAGCAATAATTCTAAAAGGCCGGAAAATTCTACATGCAAAGGTAAAATTCTTAGTAATTCAAAGTAATTACTTGCAGGACACATGAGATGAGCATTCTGAAGCAATTAGAAGCAGGAAAATAATCAAACAGATGGAGAGCAAAACAATCGAAACAATTTTTATTTACCTCCTGGTTTGGGGAAGCCCAACAGTAGGCGAATACCCATTGAACTTATCAGATTGCAGAGCATCTGAAACAGCTTGTTGAGCGACATGAGTAGTGTGAAAGGACGAATAAGCAGTAGGGTCACCCATGCCCAGGGAAATAACCTTCTTCTCCACCTGATTTTCGTCAATGCTTTGCATTAACAGACTCAGAATGCCTTTAATGGTGATTGTCGAAGCAGCTGCTGGTGTCGTCGTCTCCATTTCATGGTTGAGTACTCTTCTCCCGTTCTCCATTTTTAAGCTTTCAGATTATGAAAATTCCGGAGTTTTATGGCGTGCGGATGGGAGGGAGATTATGAAATGCTGTAGGCAGATATAGAGAAGTACTGCAGGATGCGCACACCAACAAACACCACACGTTATTGAATCAAGAGACTCTCTGGCCTCTGCATTGAAACAAACAGTGTATATATATATATATACACACACACACATATATATATAAATATATACGTACACATCAAATCCCATTACATGTATTTGCTCTGTCTATGGAATTTCATTTTCTTTTTAATCCCATTTCCATTTTTTTTCTAAAATTTACTTTTATGCTACACATGCCCGTACTTATTGGAGATATATATAAATATATATATATATATATATGCAAGATATGAACTGCTGCATTTGATTTTGAACATCTGATTTTTATTTAATATGAAAGATTTCTTACTTTATATAATTATATAATTAAAAATGTAAGTAATATTTATCTACTTACACATTAAATATGTAAATCATAATTAATTTATACATAATAAATAATTAGTACTTATAACATGATTGATCATTAATAATCTAATGAATAACTTCTAGAATTAAATTTACTTGCATGCTTTATATATATATATATATATATATATATATATATATATATATGTTGCATCACTTAACTTTTTTTTTATATAATTAAGTTTAAATATATTTTCTTACTTTTTAAAATATTTTAATAGTTAAATAGTATTTACATACTTATAATATATAACCAATAATATTATAATCTACATTATGAGATGGTATATATTTATATATATATTTGTATTCAAAATATTTTTAATTAATTATTATTTTTAAGATAATTATTTTCTTTTGCCTTACAATAGAAATAGGATTAAACATATAGTAAATGAATAGCATTAAAATATTATAAAGAGAATTATAGTAGTTATAAATTTTATATTATATTGAATTGTATATTTATATTCTATTTGTTGGTAAAATACACTAAATATAAAACTACCACAAATAAGATATAATAAAAGAGTTATATATATAAATATATATATATATATTATTGTATAAATTGACACAAAGTTCAATATAGCTAGAAAAAAATAAAGTAGCTTATATAATAAATACATTATTATAAAATATAACTAATTTTAATGCGAATATAATTGGACAAACTG